CACCCAAAAAAGATAGCTTCATCTGAACAGTTAACTGTAGCAGTTCAAAAAAACTAATGCTGACAAAACTGGTAGGACTATTACAGTTAAGCAAAAATTATCCAATTTAAGATCCCGAAGAACAAGGCAGGCCCAATAATTATGTCAAAAAATCCGGATTTTTTGTAAGCTTGTGGAATACTGCGGATAAAAACAGAGTGTGGAATGATATAGTGAACACAGAGGCGCATTAAACGTGATCAAATGGTACACGCGATTAAGCAGCAAAGAGTTTCCAGTAGCGAAATAACTTTGAATGATATGAAAAGACACACATACACACATGCGTACATCTGCGAGGGCACCAGAAAGCTGTGACAGTACTTCTATATGTTCAAATTATTCCAGAAGCCTAGCAAGGATGAGGTAGTATGGTGGCAGAACTCACCGCTTACTAGCCTGAAATCACAACCCAGAATAAATACCCGATCGGAGGCCCCGCAACCTCAAATACGTACCGATTTTTCTACATATGTCTGTTACGGAAGAATAAATCGTTTGGGCGAGTTCCAAAAAGGCAGCAGATGCCCAGTGGACTGGGAAGAGGATGGCTACTGTAGTGGCAGGGCCGGCACGGTGCGCAGACTCGATGACTCAGTGACATGAAGGCCCTCTATGCCAAAAGTTCGAACGACTTCGATGATTTTTGCAAAGTTTTTTGAAAATAAGACAGCAGTAGGACATCACAGAATTACAAGCAACAGGGATTATCCGATCACTTTATTAAACGTACCATTCTTTGAATTCTCTTTTCCTGCCATTCGTAGAAGCACCATTACCTTTCGTACTTCCTACAGGACTGTTACCGTTCGGTATCACAACACCCTTGATTGGCTGGTAGCCGTTCAACTGATCCACTCGATTCTGGAAGAAAGCAGCATGCGGCTGCCCCGGCTGATCCTGATGCATCATTGGAGGTGACATTTCAGCCGGAATTGGTGCATAACCGGATTGCTTCCCATTGCAAACCATTGGATATTGGTCAGACGATGGGCCACTTTGCCTGCACCTGAATGTACACAATCCACTCAGTATTAGTGGTACAGATGAACATACAAATCCGTTCAGTCGAACACGCAGCTGTGGAAAGCGAGTGAAAGAGTGAGAATGCAGGCGTTACCCATTCTTGTTTTTAATTCTTCCAAGCCCATTTTACCCGATACAAAATACCAGTGAAAAACTGCCACCCAAATGTTTGCCTCTTCGCAAAAATTTTTCTAATCCTGAAACACTCAAAACCCGACCGGAAGAAAAAATGTTTCTAGCAACTGGACTATGTTTCTAGCAACTATAGCCCAGACCTACAAACGAGTGTACATTGCGCGGTCGAGCCGAGCCGAGTATTAGTAACCCCAACTATTAGTTCTGAGTGACTTATACTCGTGAAATCTCGCGTATTCCTAGGCCACGGGATGTACCACATGGAACTGTTCTAAAAAATGCTGAAGAATTTTTCTGCTGCAGCATTTTCTTGCTGCGGCAAAGCACGACTTATTTTTCTGGCACCATCAAAATCAAGTACAAAAAAATTTTGCAAACAGTAGAAACTACCTGAAGACACAAAAGACAACGATAGCAATGATGATTATCACTGAAAGCGACGCTATTGAAATCAATGCTGTGCGCGGAAAATCAGTCGGTGTTGCAGGAGCCTAAAAATGATTTGTTGTCACAGAGTTTTAAATCATCTGAATAATAAAAAGCATGCACCCTAAGACGACAGGCATAATTCAGTTGAAGTGATAAGGTACTAATAAGTGCTCGACTTCCTAGACACCCGCTTATGACTTGCAATGTTCAGTCGCGCTATCCTCTTTTAAGTAAAGCGTACGTGAATATATGATATTTTCATAATTTTTTACTGTTGTTAATTCTTCAGCGGTTTGACCAGTTAAGCCGAGCTTCGATTTATAGCCCTCAGCTTTCCTGGTTGCTGAGTTGAAAGCGGGTGATAAAGCTCACTCGCTCCCGCACATACATATATATATACACACATACACACACACATATGGACGTTCTTTTGACAATATGCGTTTTTGCTCGCTGTAGCAGCACTATAGCGCTGCACAGCAAAAATACATGGAAAGTAACCAGTGATGTTCTAGCACTTAAAAGAAATGTAGGTCACCTTAGCTGTGCTGGTGATGAGTTCGCCCATTGGAGTTGTAGGCCTGACAGCATAAATGGTATGACTAGCTAATGTTGTGCGGAGACGGTGCCTGGCAGCTGACGTTGTTGGCTGGGTAAGGACACGCTGTGGCTGCTTGTGGTGCGTTTGCGGCTCGGCTGCTCCTTCTCCTGCACCTGAAATATTCCTCAGTAACCAGTACTCAACGAAACAAAGCAGTACAGAACACTCTACTACATAGAAGAGCGGCACTGCTCCGGATTGCCCGTTCCAGTAACAGCAGGCCAGCTTATAACTGTCTCTTTTTCGCTTATCTGCAGATAGAAAAGTGCTCATTCTGGAGGTCATCATCGACAAGCTACTGCTATCTTCTCAAGTTCCCATGAAAACTGAATAAACGAACTCAGTGCGGGAATTCTGAATTGTACTTCAGTTGAATGCGAGAGTACTAGCAGCAGTGACGGATGTAGTGAAAGCAGAAGTTGTAGTTCTGGTAGTAGCAGTAAAAGAAATACAGGTAGGTGTGCTCGGTGATAATTCAAAGAGAAAGTTTTAGGAGAAAAGAAGCTGAGGGCTGTGCTCAGCGGAACGGATGGAAATCATGCAGGATGTAAGTCTTATCGACGATCCAAAGCAGTGGCTAAGCAACAAAAACACCAATGAGGACCAGAAGAAACGGCAGCAGCAGCAGCAGTAGCAGTAGCAGCACATGCTCAGGCAAACGAAAAAAGTAAGATAGAGTAGCTAACAGCCACGCATTTCAAAAGCATACTCTACATCAACTTACCGGACTTCTCGCTACCTCGTAATGCCAATTCGCTTTCCTTAAGCCATTCCTCTCGTGTTCCCGGCTTATTTTCAACTGCTAACGACCACTCCGTACTGATATCCTCGACAAGTGGAAGAACAGTTGATGCAATCGTATTAACATATTCATTAGGAAGCGCTGTTTCGGCGGAATGCCCGGAGGCAATATCTGCGCCTGCAGCGATCGGTGGCTCGTTGCTTGTGGCAGTAGGAGGCACTGCAGTACCGGTTGTTATGGTACTTGTCTGCCTCGGCTGTTCCTCCGCTACAGTGGCGACAATCACTGAGGGTGCAGCAATATCGCTCCATAAATCTTCAAAATAATTTTGATTAGGTTGTCGTGATGGCGCGGTGCCTGGCGGTGTTGTGCTTAAAACCTGGATGCCGCTGGAAGCTACAGAGAATAGTGGTGCAGCTGAAGAAACAAGCGGTGCAGACGACACGTGAAGTGTGTTATTGGCATGGTGCCGCATGTGATCAGGTCTACCGCTGCTAGTGCCAAGCGTTATAAGCCCAAGCTTTTTGTTTTTGGCCATCGCAGAAGAAGCAGACTTCTCGTATATGCCAACATTTGATCCGTACGCATCTCGGATGACCTGGTCATGCGAATCACGAAATGCAGCACTACCATTTCTTCCAGCAAAGTATTGTTTCGTAGCTGCTATCGATGTTTCGTCCAAAGTTGGCATAGAAGTGAATGCAATACGATGAGGAATACGTCTGGAAGGACGTACGGTTGGCCAGAAGAATGCAAAATGGTCATCGAAGCCATCAACATCATCTTCTCGCCTAACACTGTTCCCATCGTTAACTGCAATCCGGAACAAACGTGGTTTCCCAGTATTTTGCTTATCATAATTGGTGCTAACGGTTTTATGCGATAGGCCGAAGTTCGAGCGGGGTGCGGCATCAATGCCTGTATTACTGGCAGGAATCGGTGTAACAGCATTACTATCATGACGTGTACTGATAGGAGTGATAACAGTTGTAGCAGCAGCTGTAGCAGAAGTAGCAGTAGTAGTAGTAGTAGCAGTAGCTGTTGTGAGGATGGAAGAAAACGTGTGAGTATTTGTATGGAACTCACCGTTTACTGCCTGCTGTTTCGCTTGGCCAGACAGTGGGACTGGTGCAGTAAATGTGTCTGTTGCAGTGACTGTGGATACCGCAGTAGTGGCCGAAGTGTCCGTGGATGTTGCAGATAACGTTGCTGGTGATGAGCTCGAGTCTACTGCCGCTGCTGCAGCATGTGAGTTCGGCAAAACTGGAGTTATCAGTCCTGCAACTTTTTTCCGGTCAAACAGTGCCTCTAGGCTTTGGTTAAATAATAAAACTACTGGCCTGAGATTGCTTTGCCCTCCATTTAGTCCCTTAAATTTCAGTTCCTCATTTTGTTTCCTGAGGTGTGTAAGCCCAAAACATTCGGCGGACCTGAACATCCGACCTACTGGCGTTCCCGGTAATACCGCTAAAATAGGATCTCCACACCGGCTGTTCGGACGGTCTTTACATTCTCGGTAGTTTGTATCTGTTTGCCAGCTCTGCTGGAACGGCGGGATATTTTGATAACCATAGGGTTTGTCGCGTAAAAGCGAGTTGGGTCCAGGAGAGAGAGAAAAAACATACTATAAGTAAAAAAATTTGATCAAAATTATAACGGTGGGGCGCTGGGTTTTCACGCTTCCCACCACCATTCCTCCACTCACGGTGGTTGGTATAACACACACTCTTGCACCTCTTCTCCCCCCCTTCCCCGTTCTACATGGGAATTTGTGTCTCTTAAGTGGAAGGAGGGCAGAGGGGGGGAGGGAGGAGGTTAATTTTGTGTTCTTGATGTGTTTATTGGTTATCGTTGTGTTGATACGACGATATTTTGTTGTGCTGGGTTTGTAATCGCGTTGCTTCGGTTTAAATAACCCACATTTGAGGTACAAATTGGTTGATAATCGATTGGATTGGAAGCTGGATAAAGTTGATATTAACCGCGTGGCAGCGAGTTGGGAGCACATATTTTTTCTTGTCCGAAAAAAAAAAGGTGAGAAATCAAATTTTCCGACAGAGTCAACCTTCACTCTGATCCCTGGGCTGCTTCAAAGAAAACCAACCCCAGATGTTTTAAATGTCATTAGTCCTCATGCACGCGATGTCTGAAGCACTAGGGAATGAAGTCGCTTACAGTTTTTTTCTTAAATTGTAAAAGACAGGATTATAACATTTTCACCCTAACCGACTGCTATTCGGCGCTATCAGTTATGCATTTTGTCACAACTTTTTATACACGGAACTTTATGGGGGAAGTTGTATGGATTTATGGTCTATTAATTTATGAGTTTATAGCTCAGCTGTTGTCCGTCATCCTTTTGGAACTTCTAGCTGGTTTGACACCTTATAATGGTTTAGAGTGGCATCGTTCAAGACGAGATGCTCAGCACACAACTCCAAACGAAGAAACCTTTGCCAGGTGCTTCGGTCAGGAGAATTTTTCAGCTGATAATCTCTTCAGGAGAAGAAACAAATGTCAGGATCGCTAGCAGACTGATCAACAAGGTAAGCTATAATTGATTAAAGCCACTGGAAAAGTTGTTAGCTATTAACCACGCTGTGAACAGCACCTGTTCGAAATATCAAAGGATTTTTCCGAAGCGCATAATGTCTAGACAAAATTTCTCTACTAAACAGAGCACTTTTTTTGAGATTGCTTAGTAACAAACGGCACTGAAGTCGTTTCGCATGTGCAACAATCTATCGTCACCCCAAAAGTGCGTAATGACAAAATCTCAACATCTAGGTTTGCTTGATTGCCAAGTTGAAATACCTGAACATACACATACCATGGGTTGAAATACCCGTTTTTGCTCTTTGCTGCAGCGCAAAGTGCTGCATTTTGCAAAAACGCATAATGATGTAGTGAAATACGTTGGCTGGACCCATAGAAAACTCGGAATCTGGAGATGTCAAGATAGACGCTTTAAGACTATTTTATTCATTGGTCCTATATCTCAGATCTTTGTTAAATTTTGAACATGGAGGATAAAAATGAATGCAAAAGATGAAAGTCTTCCAAGTTTCCAAGGTAACAGTAATCTCTCCACGACCGTTACTGTAACCGTAAGTATTCGTTGCTGTAACTGTACTATAATCATACTATATCCACGACCGTAAGTGTGGCACTGCTCTCACGCCCAACGTAGAAGGCTTAATTCCATCCGTACGGCAGCCAAATATTTCTAAGATTCGTTCATTCATTTCGATGGCAAATTGCTGAAGACACGTGCCAGGAGTGAAATCGGACATCAACTTATCATCAAGCGAAGGAAAAGTGCCAACGAGTCGTTGCTGTTAGCATGTGCTACCGCTTGGGACACGTTCAAGAGCCTCCCTTCCTCACAGATAGTGAACTATGAAGGAGTTTCACTTCTGACTACACGCATGGAAATCGGCTGTGGCACCCCAGGTACGGAAGTGGCAACTCTCTGGACGTTATCAAAACATGTAGGGGATAGGCCGGTCCAGAATAAGCTTAAGCAATACAAGTCATTTTATCCACCTAACCAACGGCTGGTGTTCCAAGAAAGATAATCTGGCTACAAAGGCAGAATTCTGTAAGCTAATGAACAGCTCGTACTGCCGTTTCGGAAGAGACTCCCTTCCCAGTCCTTTTTGCATTTAAAAAACTGAAAAACCATTAGGATGGGATAAGATTTTAAGGGGTTAGGGTGGAATAAGATAAAGTGCAGAGTAGGGAAAGGGACGGAATTTAGCTGACAAATGCAGCGATATACATGGAAGAGAGCAGTAAAGTGCGCCGGATGACGATGAATTAAAATAATTTAAATATTACATTGGAAAATAAGAAATGAGTACTGTTTTGGAAGAAAGCAGTGAATTTTGCTGCCGCTTCTCTCTGCTTCGAATACCCAACTGATGATTAGTATGAATCTTATCAGTCCAGATAATTAAAGATAAGTTGTGAGACTCAAATGAGAAGGAACAAAAATTCGTTCGAAAAATCTTCCGCATAGAACACCGGGGGAAAAATTTATAGAGTAACCGTGTCTCGTATTAGGCCTGGCCAAATTAGGCGCAAACAGTGGCCGTTTGTGATGGAAAATCTGGCACTCGGCAGAGTCCCATTCCAATAAGCATGCGATCGGCGCTGCTGTTGTCGTTGTCCTCTGTGCTACACGCAACTGCTCACCACCGACAGCCAAATGGCCCTTTGTCCGCCTCCGGATCATTTCTAATTGATTTTTCAAATGCTTAAAAAATCCAGAATCAATCTGTACCGCACGATGTAATGCATTCGCAACATACTGCTATATGGTGCATTACGCAGTGCTCACGCATACACTTTTATTGAGCTGAAACCGAAAAAAAAGAATAAGTCAACTAAGACGACAATGTACGCGCGTACTCATTTCTAAGTTAATTAAGGCAATCCGTTTTTGTCACAACCTTTGGAGTTTAGCATTCCGCTTCCTTTCCGTCTCTCTCTTCTATCCCCTCGTTCACCAACCCC